TATATATATATATATATATATATATATATATATATATATGGATGTGTGCTTGTGTTTGTGTGTGTGTGTGTGTGTGACGTAGCTACGGAACCAAAGTAGCTAAAGCGCTGATATTTTCTAACCATAACCTACAAGCTTTTTCGGGCAAATGCGCATTGAAAAGGACTTTCGCGTTTCCACGCGTAAAATCTGACGTAACTCCGCAATCAAACCTACCAGAATGTTGAAATTTTCTGAGAATGGCTCACAACTGTATTTACTGCGAATCCTTGTGATAATTCGTGACAGCGTGAATGGTCACTCTTAATTCGTTTAACTAAAAGCACCTCCTAGAGGAACATTGTTACTTAGCTGCAGGCACCTGCAGGAAAAACTGTGCAAAAAGCACATGTTTGCACCGTCAAACTTGTTGCGTGGCTGCCTAAGTTTGTTGAAGAATTTGTTAAATGTGCTATTCAGAAGAATTCTGCTAGCATTATCTCACACATGAAAATGCAACAGTGCAGTGTGAAAATTTGTGTGCGGGCCCCAAATACCCACAAAAAAATCGCATGCTTCATCATTTTTAAAAAATCTCACACCTGCTTGGTCGTTTTGCATGCAAACGCGAAGGACTTTTGGTCGTCAATTGGCAAATTACTGGCAATTTGGGCGAGCACTATCATTGGTAACTGCGTAAGCTCGTTTAATGGCCATTCGGGCTCATGTTCGTCCTCCATGACTTCCATTTTTTCCCCGTCACCTTGCATGCCGAATTCTTATCGAACTTCGTTCGCAGTTGGCTTTTTCTACAAAGAGCTTTTAACGTGCAATGACAACGGTGCGCAGGCAGTTAAGCGCATTACAGAAAGTCGCTTGACTTATCCGTATTTAAATTATTCATATTTGCACAAATTTATTTAGTGACACTCAGGCAAATTAGTAGGTTTCCGCAGTCTTTTTTGACAGTTGATTCCCAAAATGCTTCAGCAGGAGCAAAGAAATTTTGTGAATAACTTGCCGCAAATGTCAAGACCGCCTGGACAGTTAGTGTAAATATTCCATATATTGATTTTACTGGGATACTCCCGTACGTCAATCGCCAGGCCCTTCGATCCTGAGCTGTACAATTTCCAGCTGGCATCCACCATCTGTCTGATGCACGTATGCTACCTGCCCAGAGACTGCCCACGTGGTGTTTTGACGGGTGCAACTGAATAATAAGCAATCACCATGACATCCTGCCCGCCAGTAATCTGACAAAGAGACGGACTGCTTATATTAGTAAGAAAGGACAATCCAAGCACCCTTCGTTCCACTGATCTTTCGGCAACAGTCAACGCTCACTCATCGGCTTTTGCCACTGATCGCATTTCGCATCCTCGCGTCACTGCCTTATCACAAATAACTGTGTATAACTTATCCGTCTACCTCCTCTTGTGTAGCGGAGGCGACTTGTGGCGACGGCAGACGAGAAGCCTAAGAAACAAGCTTTTGCCGTTTCAGGACGTCTTTTGCATATGTTGAACACCACCATCTCAGCGCGGGCGTTGTTGGTCCTAGAGCACGATGAGGTACCACACCTATTCTGCTGGTCCCTGGAAATGTACATCAGCGAAATCAAAAAGAATGTATCGCGAAAAAAGTACAGAAGAGATGGACAAAGCAGTGCTCGTCGTAACACTGCACCCTGGATTATCGGGAGCTGCAGCCAGCTCCGACGGTGGCGAGACACGCTGACGCAGGCTGAAATCACACAACAGCAATTGAAACCGACCGGCAAGCAACTGTGATAGGTCACCGCTTAACAAGCACATAAAGTATGCAGATTTCTGTAGCGATCCAACGCAAGTATTAGATCGATTATGCAGATTTGTGTGGATGAGAGCACATAGTTGAAAGGCATCAATTATGCAAACTTTTTTCAAGGTAGGCCCCCTAATTTTGGATGCGAGGAACATTTTCGGTTCCGAGAAATTGTTCTTATGCCTCCCCTCATCTTTGACCAATTCAAACAAGAGATTGTCGCTAGTGTGCGTGTATTTGTGCGCGTGGGTGTGTGTGTTTGTGTCTGTATATTTCCATTTCCAGATCTGCGAAAGCTGTTAAATTGAAGTTTTGCCAACTTTTAGTCCATCACTGCGGATGGGACCACAAGTGTAAAATGAACGGTCATGCCTTCTTGCTTCTTACATACAAACAA